ACAAAGGGCTCCTTGATGACGATATGTTTTCTTTTATATTTTGCATTTTTCTTTTGGTTCCCGGAAAAGAAGCCAGGAACTAGCGCGAGATCAATACTGACGGTATCTTGTAGTCAATCAAATGAAGAAATGATGCATTAAGCTACTGTATGAAAAAGCTTACCGGCGCTGTTCAATTTTCAATGGGACAGTGGACAGAGAGAACTCAGGCATCAGAATCTTTATCAGCGCTGTGCATATATGAAGGACCACGTGCATATAGATCGAAATGGGTCAACAAATTGCATTGGCATAGCCAAGACATGTTTATGTGAAAATGTTCCACATTTAGCCAGACTTGATAAGCGATATAAGTCATGCGACGTAGTTTTGAGCATGTGTGCTCGCAAATCTTAGCAACACAAAACATCGATGCCAGGCGTTGCAGTCTCCATAAGCCCCGCCGAGTCCGTGCTGGGCTTAAAATTACGTTGTGTCCAATGGGTGGACGAAAATGATTATGCATTCCAAAGAAAAATCTCTCAACTATTTCAATTATTTCTGTCATCTACAGCCAATCCTGTGGGCACTTATGCCCTCCAACCGTGCCTTTGATAGCGTGTTCCGTTGGACCACCTCAGCCCCTCTTTAAGCCTCATCGAACCCTGTCATTTTTCGCCTCGGGGCCCCTCCGAGCGCAAAACCCTCTGTTAGGCGCTGTGGGCCTGTGACAGATGCAAGGGCCCCAGCCAGTGTAAACCACTGGCCCCGGCTTTGCAGCTGGCTGGGAAGTGCGCTCCCAGGTCCACACCGATGGGGAGTGGACTGCGCGGTATTGATGGCATCCTGACAAATATCTGGGCCCATACCGACTCAGGGTGTCGCTGATCAGCGCAAACAGCCCTCTGCCTGTGATATAAGAGCCCGTTCCCGCAGGCCGGGGCCCCTCAATAAGACTCCGACCAGGTCTTCGCGCCTTTGGACCCTCCAATCGAGCCCTTGATCGTCGGATCCGGTGGGCCCTCCAGGCTCTTTGGGCCTCCTCGAACACTATCTCTGGGCTACTACGGGGCCCTTCCCAGCACAGGGTTCCCGTTAGGCGTTGTGGGGTCGCGAAAAATTTAAGTCGCTGGCTCCGGCTTTGTACCTGCTTGGGGTTTTGAAAACAGGCCCTCTGGACCATACCACCACGAAGCCGACTGCGTGCTACTGGTGTTGTCTGACCGGCATATATAACCTTATCGACTCAGGCGGGCCCTGATCAGCGCACAGGTCCACCTGGCTGGCATAAGACCCCGAGACCTGCGGGCCAGGGCCCTTGAATACGACCTCCGGCCGGCCTCTCGGGACCTTCTGGCCTTCAAATTGGGCACTTCATCGTAGTTCCCGAGGGGCCCGAAGGCTCCTCGGAAGCCAAGGGGGCGGAGTTAGGTGCCCCCCCCCCCCCCCCATCTGTCTGCGCTATCGCCTGCAGGTTTTGGGAAGAGGTCCCCACGCACGGTACCCGTTACCGCCATCTGTCGTTGCAACCCACCTCACCATTCACCCAAACCAGCACCAGAGGGCAGGAGCACCCACGGCCCCTGCCTCACGCAGAGCCCCCCTGGCGCGTGAACTGTGCACCGTAACCCTCATCTCAAGGGATCATATCCGATAAGCGGTCGCAGTGGCAGAACCACGGGCCAGCAGCTAAGGAGAAACCGAGAATGTACATTGGAAAGGCGTTCTGCGCCGCCACACGTTAGACTCCACAAAAACAAGAACAAGGAGAAACGTCTTCCGATGTGGCGGAGCTCACGAGCGGGCCCCCTTGCCTTTACAATGCAAGGACTGCCGCTGATTGGGGCATAGCTCAACTCAAATGCGCGGACGACAACTGGCAAATGGAGCGACGGGCCGCCGTGTGTCCACGACAGCATCCCTGGTGTGCACACACCTGAACACCGCAACGCAACACCTCGAGCAACAATCGCACCAAACATCGTCTTCCACGTGCCACCGAATCCCCAACCAGCAGTTGGTAGTTGCCCTCGCATTCACCCACGGCACCCACCAACCGAGCACCGGAACAAAGCCGCAACAGACCACAGAGCAACGACCGCCACGCCAGCAATCGTCATGCCATGCATGAGCTTCGCCGCGGCACCTGCCCCGACCCATCGTGTATTGCACCGTGCCATCCCCCGACAAGGAGCGGCCGCGGCTCACACGGGCCACGGCGCTCCGCCGGCGGAGGCCGAGGGCTGCGCGGTCAGCAGCGGCGGCAGGGAAAACCCAGCCCGGATCCCGCTGGCCGCCCGACACTAACGGAACGCGGCATCTGCTGCTGGCAGCTCTGTGAGCGCCGTGCCACCGTGCTGTAATCTTCTGCTTCGTTTTGCCCTTGCATTCTTCCCTGTCCTTGTTAGTGTTGTGGTCACTAACAAATCAGGTACTGCTTGCCAGTGTCTCGCAAAGGTGCAGAGCATTTGACTATGGCTCTGACCTACGTAACTCCTCTAAAAAGATACAGATCTTGGCTTTCATGTCATCTCTGGAAGGCGTCGGTCTGGTCACATGGCATCACATAACCTGCACGTGGGTGGCCCACCACCATCCAGCTGCACCAACCGCATCCGCTAAACCTTTTCACGGTAATGGCCATACTCGGGGCTTGGCAAACCGCAGCTCTCGTCTCTCAACCCCAGACCAACGTCGAACTCGGCCTTCGCGACACGCGAAGGCAGCAGGACAGTGACCTGCCTCTACCGCCAGTGAGAACCGAAGTCGGCAGGCGGCACGTGCAGCACAACATTGACAATTCTATAGCCATCTGCCTGAAGTAGGGAACGTGACCTTGCTTTCTTCTGAACGGGTCGTGGCGGTTTCTTTAGGCTTACAGCGTATATTGACGTGGCTGGGCGCCATTGTATGCTGCGTGTTCGCACGTGGCGCATGTTGAGTGTCGTTTTCAACGCGTTTTGCCTTTTTCCGCGCTGACACGACGTCCTGGACAAATGTTACGGTGCAGCTTTGCTGGAAAATGGAAATCTAAACAAAGTCTGCGAACCTCTGCGCCACTGGTCTTCCCACCGCCACCGCCAAGCCGGTAGTTCGGGCATCGCGATGCAATCAACTTGACGTCATACAAGGTATTAAGACCCTCTAATCATGAGGTTATTACCAGTTAAATCATACCCCATCAACATACCACGCAAGAGCTCGCCCCACATCGCACGCATTCCAGCGGCCGCCATCATGCGAACGTTACGCCGACTCCGCCCGGTGGACGTCCTCCCCCTCTCCCCTCCCCCCTTCCCCGTCCGAGTCCTGCCGACGCTGCGGGCCGTCCTCGACATTCCGCCGGGCCGCTAGCCGGCCGGCGTGGAAAGCCCGGTCGCCGCCGGCCCGGCCAGCAGCGCGCCCTGCGCCCACTGCGCCGGCTGATCCCTCCCAGAAGCGGACTTAGCGGCACTGCACGTGACCTTTCCTTGTTTGAACGGTCACTTTCGGTGCCCAATGGCCGTGACATGTGTTCACCGTTGGGCAGGCATGGACCGCTGTGATGGAATGTGGCGGCTGGACGTGTGCAGCCGAAGCTCAAGGCGTCCGACATAGGCGAGAGCTGCAGGAAGTCTCTCTGGTCACAGCAAGGATCCAAAAGCCAGTCGTCTCATCGTATCGCGGCGTTATGGCAGCAGAGCGGAGGTCAGGCGGAACTTAACAAGGAAAATCGGCAACCAGAACCGGGTCAGCTGCCAACACTGTTAGCAGACTTTTGTCCCGCTCGGGGTCGGCTCGGAGTCGACTCAGGAATCCGACAAATTTTCCTTGGATCTAGGAGGCATCGATAAGTTTGAAATTGTATCCGACTAGAGTCTGCGCCGAGACAACTGTTAAGAACAAATCCCTGCGTTGACTAGGTAGCTGCTAATCACATCAAACAGGACTGTTCTGCCGTGTCATACCAGACATATCGCTGCCCTGTAACCACAATGCCTAAACACAAACGTTTGCATAAAGTCATTAAACGGGTCAGCTCAACAGACGACACGGCGGCATCGAGTCGATCGAGAACGATTCCAGATTTGAGCCGCGTCTCCTTGCGTCGGAATCGGAGTCAACTCAGATAATCCTGCGTTGCCCGAGGTCACGGACTCTGAGCCATGCGCGATGAGTCAGAGTCAGAGTCAGAGTCGCTCCGCTGAAGGGGAGTCACGCACGAGCCGGCCGTGCGCCGGCCGGCGCCGGACGGGCGAGGCACCCTCTTGTCACGCAGCACTGCGGAGCGAGCCACTCCACGATCACGCACGGGCACCTCGGCTGTCCGGCAAGACGTCATGTGACAGACCTCGACTGTCCGGCAAGACGCCATGAAATATATCTCGGCTGCCCGGCAAAACGCCACGTGACAGACCTCGACTGTCCGGCAAGACGCCACGTGACAGACCTCTACTGTCTGGCAAGATACCACGTGACAGACCTCGGCTGTCGGGCAAGACGCCACGTGACACACCTCGGTTGTCCCGCACGACGTCACGTCACAGACCTCGGCTGTCCGGCAAGGCGTCACGTCACGGACCTCGGCTGTTCGGCACGACGTCACGTGACAGACCTCGGCTACTGACAGACCTCAGCTGTCCGGCAAGACGTCACGTGACAGCGTTGACGGAAATGAAATGCTCAGCTTACAACGGCATTACAAGTGATAATTATGGCAGGTTACAGACCAAATTGAACGCCGGATGCCCATCTGCCCGATCATTTCCATCTATCTGCGTGATGCACACAGCAGCCCAGGCGAATAAGCCAAGCAGAAGCGAAGAGTTTATTCATCTCCCATCAGGCCAGTAGCAACAGCAGACGCGTCCAACACTACATAGTTGAGGGGCTAGGTTCCAAGGGCGTCACCAGGTCTCCATAAACCAAGCACAATGAGAGGAAAGTACGGTTTGTTTGACGGTATCTGGGGTCATGGATTCGTCCCCTCCCACGCCCCGCCTCCCGGATTCGCCACAGCTGAAAACTGACTGACCAATCAATATTGATCAGCTTACGTCAACCCACAAAGCAGGCTACTCGCACCCCTGTTTTCTCTCTCTTCCTCAGCCGGAGAGCACCGGGACAAACCACCGCCACCCGTCTTCCCGCGCCGGCACTACGTCCCGGTCACCGCCCACATCGTACCGCCCCACATGACCCGACACCACACCGCCCGCCGATGACCCGACACCGCACCGCCCGCCGATGGTCTGACACTGCACCGCCCACGGTCACCGCCCACATCGTACCGCCCCACATGACCCGACACCGCCCGCCACCGATGACCCGACACCGCACCGCCACCGATGGCCTAACACTGCACCGCCCGCCGATGGTCTGACACTGCACCGCCCACGGTCACCGCCCACGTCGTACCGCCCTACATGACCCGACACCGCACCGCCCGCCGATCATCTGACACTGCACCGCCCACAGTCGCTGGCGCCGCCCGCGCCTAGCCGGAGCGGAGCTGACGCTGCAGCAGCTCGATCTCCAGCTGGAGCTTCTGCTGCTCCAGCCGCAGGTTCTGTTCGTGCAGCTCCTGCAGCCGCTCCGAGTACTGCAATAGCTGGGTCAGCATGCGGTCGATGGCGGCCAGGTCGGTCAGCGGCGGCGCCGTCGCGCAGGCCGCCGGCGTCGGCCGCACGGGCTCGGCGGACGTCCCTATTGACGGCGGGGCGCTGGTGGTCCTGGCTGGCGGCGGCGGCGGCGGCGACGTAGCGACGTTAACCGGCGCCCCGGCACACAGCCCACCGGCCGCCGGGTACTGCTCGCAGGAGAACGGCCAACGGAGTCCAAACTTGTTCATCAGCGGCTCGCAGCCGTCCCTGGCTGCTTGGCACAGCTCGCGACACGGCGGCGTCGCAACGTCCAGCACTGTGCACGGAGGGAAGTACAGCAGGCAGAGGAACGACGCCAGGCTGGGGCTGCAACCGACCTTCACCAGCGGCGCGAACTGATGCGCCTCGAGCGCCGCCATATCCAACGTCGTGTGGTTCAGTATGTTGGGCATTATCGTCCTGTTGTAGGGTTGTGTGGCGCAGAACTCGCTGGTTAGTTCTTGACAGCGATCGCTGCTGGCAAACGCCAGCGGCAGCACCAGCACCAGCACTGAGGCGGAGCGCATCGCGGCGTCTCCGACGGCGCCTGCGAGAGACTGAGTTCGTTCGTGCTGTTTACCACCCGTTTAAACACGGTAAGGACGCACTCGTGACGTCACCAAGGCTGCTCACGAGGCGAATCCAGACCGTCCTTGAACCACACGCGTCGGCACGCGCCGCAGAAACGAAGAAGCTTCTTTTCTTTGGCTGCACAAGGGACTGCAAGCTGTAGGTGTGGAATGATTTGAGGACGGCACGTCGTGCGCGTAACCGTGCTTTGATCATGGGAGCGGAAGGCCTGCATTGGACCTAGATCTGCACTGGATCTGCACCTCCTCCCGGCGAGGAGGTGGAGACCAGAGCGAAGATGCGCAAACACCACTGGTGGAGAAATCTGCAGCAAAGCTACCAGATGAGAGAAGTTTTCTTGCTGGGCTGCCAGGTCCGCGAAATACCATGCGTCAACATCATACGCCGCTACGGGTGCGCAACGGGGTGGCAGACAAGGCCCTGCCATAACAGCGCCACAGCGCGGTCGTAAGAATTCTTGAAGTCAACTCGAAAATCAGAAGGCAACGATGCTGAGCGAGGTGAGCGAATCGCACATAGTCATACTTCAAGTTGTTTCAAGTGCGCGGCTCTAGGCAGGTTACCGCCACCCGATCCCTTCAAACTAAGTGACTGGAGTTTGTCATAAAAGCGCTCTCGCCTCTTTCGGTCAACAATGGGAAGGAACAGTGAGGAGAGTTGACAAAATGGCTCGGTGGCTCAAATGATTCATCAAAAACACGGACTATGTGGTCGTAGTTTCACAGAATGAGTTGGTGGAGGCGAGCTGAATCGCAAGAAATAACCCCAACTACCTACCAAATTATGACGACAAATAAGTTTCACCATGGATTTAGGCTGTGGAGAAGAGTTCTCTTTCAGTTCGTTCTCTTCTCAAAGCTCCGGTGTGGGGGGGGGGGGGGATGAGCGGGTAAACTCCATACGTGAGACATTGGCGTTTGTATTTGGGTGCGTCTAGTATCCGTCACAAGACATCAAAATATTCGTGACGGCACTCGACGCAGATAACGTGAAAGGGGTGTTCTTCGCAAAATGAGTTGATGGGGGAATGAGCAGTCAAATTTACGAGACCCATCTCAAAAGTACGTCACCAAACGAGTCTTTTCGCGGATCTGCCCACTTCCTTCTCAAAGTTGGGGAGGCATGAGTCTAAGTGTGTGGGCTGGGACTACGGCTGAAAAGAAAACTACAGCCTGCAACCTTGGGGAGGCGTGAGTCTAAGTGTGTGGGCTGGGACTACGACTGAAGAGAAAACTACGGCCTGCAACCTTGGGCACGCGTGAGTCTAAGTGTGTGGGCTGGGACTGCGACTGAAAAGAAAACTACAGCCTGCAACCTGAGGTCGCTAGATTATTGCATGCGTATGGAGTGCACATGAGCATGGCCAGTGACTTGAGAGAGCGAGAGCACCAGTTATCAATAACCCTCGCCTTGATTTGCCGTTTTTGTAAAGCAGACTGATAGCGTGAGTCGATGCGATAACACCCACCCCTCTGCCACTTTCATATTAAAAAAGAGGAAGTCTAACGGAAAACAACAGTGGATTGGTCTCAACAATACCTTGCGATGGTTAATTTTTTCTTGTTGTTTTAGGTCGATATTTGACTCAACAACATCTTCTTACTGCGACATCTTTTCTGGTTGTCGTTAGGTCGATATTTGACCCAATTATGTAAGGTCAAAGTTCGAATTTTCCTGCTCACCGTACTCATTCAGCTTTACACGTTCATATCTACTAGACCCTTCAGCGGCACGGAACTCGAACAGGCGTCTTGTGCAGTTCTAAGTACAATGGTGTCTAGTTTTGTGTTTGCAGCATGCATTCGTTACGTATGGTTCCGCCAATGCAGCAGTGCAGACCCGCCGTGTGCGGTCGGCGGAATCGTCGATGGTCACTCGCCGCCCGCGCTAGCCATGGATCGCCGCGCAGTGTTCCACATTCTGGGGAGCGGAGGGACGTTATATGTGGAGTGATGACGGCGACACTGGCCAGTGGCGGGTGGAAACAGGAGGCAAGGGTGGGACAAGAGCCGAGGTCCATATTTTAATTGGGGTAAGGATGAAATAAACATCTCGTCTCGATCTGTTTTGATAAATTTCCTTTTGCCCATACTTGTTATGTGCTGTATTATACCGTGTTTATACTCTTCTTTTCTGTCTTGTACTGTGATGCTGTGATCATTCCTGTTCCCATTTGCTTTGTCTGCTGCTCCATCTCCAGGGTGCCGAAAGTGAAGTGGTTAAAGCGGTTGCGTTAACCATTACGTTTCTGGGAAACTAGAGGCATGGGGTTCGATTCCCCGCGGCGCCCGCCCTTTCTGCCGGAGTGAGCGGCAGACGACGCCATATAGCCTCAGGAGCTGAGTGCGTCGTAAGTCCCAATGACGGCTGCTGTTTTAGGCAGTAATCTCCAGCCTTGTGTTGTTATTTTCTACTCTATTCTTCTCTACCTTGTTCTCTCTCATCCTGCCCCGAACGCTAACCTGCCTTGTTCTGTCCTGTTGCCACCGACCCTTCATCTCCTGCTTTCTGGATGTCATGTCATGCCCAGTGACGGTGGAACCGCTATGGAAATTGGGGGACGGAAAGCATGGTTTTGCCCGTTCTTTATGTGTGCTTTATGTCCGTGTGCTATTCTCCCCATCTTGCCTGTAGGATGGTTATTTTTAACATCCCCTTATTCGAAATACCTTTGTTAGTTCAGGTTATCTCTAAATTTCAGTTTCACCCGTTCAATTTTGATTGTTCCCGCGATCTCATGGTCTGATTACGTCCATGCCCAAGAAGGCCCGAAAATGTAACACAGCATGTTATCGTAAACATGTTTCCCAGTGTCCGTTAACTTATCCTATTTTGCGGATCCCTGGCCCATGGCCCCTCCAGCTTCGCTTACATGTGGACAGCACCTACTTCTTCACACGTGCAACTTTTGAGTTAAACACGCATTTTTCATGGTTGTCCATTTCATGTTTACAGAAGTAGTTGCCTGAGAGCAAGGTAAAAAACTTATCAAATTTGGTAGCTTTGCAGCGCATTTTTGCCGGAAGTGGTGTTTTTACATCCGCCGGAATCAATACGACGCATGCACCGAGACGTGCCTATGTCTGAATGTAAACATTTCCACAGCCGTTCGCTGAAGCAGTCTAAATCGAAATTGCCAGCAAGGACTAATATGACGAACTGGACTTATCTGACTGACGGGCATGCATGTACGTGGTTTACCATTGCCGAAATGGCCAAAGGCAGAACCGTACATCCACACTTCCTGCACACAGCACCAACGGCAATGCTCGCTTAACGGCCTATTCCACCACGCAAACATGCATAATTCGCCTAGTAACGATGATGGCATTACATCGTGACGATAGCAATAATGATAACTTGATAACTAATGACGTGCTCGCTGTGATCGGCCCAATTCGTGACGCCAGTTTACAGCTCGTATTATAGAAAACGACGCCATCATGCTCACATCGTCGGCGCGCAAACGTGCACCACGCCCACCCTCCAGCACTCCAGAGCAGCCATGCAAATGTGCCAGTCAGAGGACCTGCTGAACTGGCGGTCTCAGCCCGATACCGAACACGAGTCCAATGTCCGTCAATGCCCCGTCCGTGGGATGACATTACCGACCGCCGGCCAAGCAGAAACCTCCCCGATCTCATGCATGCCGGACGGGTCGAAGGTCACGGTGAGCCATTACCCGAGGCGACTAAGACGCGGACCATTCCGTTGTTGCCTGCGCAGCGGTACTGGACCGGGTTTCCCCAGCCCTCCCCCGCCAGCTCCAAAACACACCGCCAAAGCCGGCCGACACGGACCGGTCTCGGGAATGCGGCGCGCGTGCTGCGCCTGCGCCACGACCGCCACCCCCCCCCCCCCCCCGCCCGCTCCCGTCAGCTGCTCTGCACACCGGCTGACAGGCCAGCCGAGGTCATCAGGTTCGAAGCCTAGTTACGCCACAGCCTCTGCAGTCGCTGGCGCTCTATCCATAAAAGGGGCGCAACGACGTATGTCGGGTTTCCTAAAGATATAAAGCCTTACTAGCAACGCTGTAGACTTTTACAGGCTTTCGTAATGCAAGGCTCAACACGATATTGTTCTGCGACCCTGAAAAATAGTTATTATTCTTACTTGTAACGCATACCAAACTGGCCGGCTTTACCAGCAAAGATTCGATTACATCACGCTTTATTTATTCCTTAGCTATCACAATGTGTCACAGTCACTGCTCAGAAACAGCCGAGCAATAATTATCAAGTTTGTCATATCTCTAAATAATCTTCTTGCTGAAACCAATGAAATCCATCCTCGTAAAGCACACCAAATGACCCGAGGCAGAGAAAAAGCCTCAGGGGAGTTACATAAAATAGCCTGTTCAAGCTGGCAACGATAATCAAAATTTCACTGACATTCTGACTTTGTTTCAAATAAGGCGTGGCCGTGTCTAAGTGATTTCCTTACCTCATACAACAACTTTTGGGTGTAGATATTTGTTTAATCACAATCATATTTGTGTCATACTTTGTTCATTACCCGTCACATTTATAATTTTAATTATCCCACACCGACATACACACATCTATTCCAGAGGTCATGGACGCGGCCTAAGCAGTTATGGGAAGTGCGGGGTTTTAAGCCCACACGCGCATGGAATCCGCTTCACCGTACGCCATGGTAACTTGCTCTTCGTTCTAGATACTCAAACAAACAAGGAAATGCTGCGTCATGCTATCGGGCCTCCCAGAAGTCCACCATCAGCAACAGCAGGCGGCGGCTGACGAAAGCGAGATCAACCGCAGAGAGCAGAACGCAACGTCGGAGGGTGGCGCGGGGCGCACCAGCTCCTCTCGCGGTCGGCCAGCACACCAGCTGCACGACGCCAAGCCACGCCCCTCGTGTCAAGCCACCCGAGTTCGCGCTCAGGTGCACCATCGCTCAGGAGCCCGTGCTCCAGCAGCTTGAACCGAAAGCGGGA